TAAATAGATACAGTTAATCTAATTTATAAGCTGGGAGGGATTGCAACCTTCCTTCAAAAGTTCGGCAAGAGTTGAAGGATATCCATGTAGTTTTCGATGTTGATTGTAAGCTTAGCACTCGATTAAAATATATTTCACTGTTAGGGGGCAGTGGCATATATCTGAGAAAATTTTCAAGTCAAGTGGAATTCGTGAAGATTATTTTCTGAAATACTGTCAGCTGAACGCATCGATATCGATTATAAATAATCCCCAATTATGCCTACCCATACATTAAAAGAGAATCTGTCTTGGAAATGAGTTTGCGTTATCGCATGTGGGTTATCTTCCGCCCAGATGTGGTTGTTGTGGATGTTCATGATACCATTTCTTGAAAAATTAGCCTCATCTGTGAAGAGGATTTTCGATCAAATTTGTGGATGTTGTTCGACTTTTCTTTGAAACCAATCGCGTAGCGTAAGTGCCTGGACATGATATGATAAGGAATATAATTGCTATTCCTTTAAAATTCTGTAAACTGTCATGTGACTCACATTTGAAGTTTGACTAATTTTTCTTGTACTTGTCTCTGGATGTTCACTAATTTCTTCGAGAACCGCCTCCTCCAATTCTACAGTTATTGTAGTCCGTGGATGTCCTACTGCAGAATTTGTTTCAAAGCTTCCAGATTCGGAAAGTCGCCGGAAAAGATTCTCAAATGTCGCTGCACAAGGAGTCACGCGTTGGGGATAACTTTCCTGATAGATGTGTCAGGTCTCGCTTGAATTTCCGACAGCCAAGCCGTATGCAAAAACCATATAAGCTATTTCAGCATTCGTGAAGTCGGGCATGGTACCAAAAAATCACTTTATAAACTCCAAACTGCGAATTTGTCAATTAATAGTTAAAAATGTGACAGCGAACTTCTACTTTTATAAACAAACTTTCATAGCCTACTCGATTTAATTAACTTAATTTGCAAGCGGAGAGTGACACAAATTATCGAAATCAAATTTGGCTATAAAGTAATATGCATCGATATAGAAAATTGTAAATATCTCGAAAACGATCACCTCCAGCATTGTTGAGGAGGTGTACCTTGTTTACTTGGAAAAGGTGTGGGAATTAGGTTTTATCATGTAAAGTACCAAAAGTTTACTGTCAAAAAAGTTAGGGCAATCTGAAATAAATAATGACAGCGTACGCAGCGCCCTCTAGATGTTACATGAAAATTAATACGAAATTATGATTTCCCACGTCAAAAAACCCCGGGTACCGAATTTCGTGCAAATAACTCATTTTCTGCAAGAGTTATTTTCAAAAAGCGAACAAAAAAATTCAATTTCAACACACCGTATCTCCGAAACGAAGCATTTTCGGACACAAGTTCATATAGACTTTTTTTTTAATTGTCTCAGGAATACGTCATTTGAATATTTTAACGTACTCATGTTACACCCTGTAAAAAAATGCTTCTGATTTCTCCATCTCTGGTCTTAAAAACATAAACTCTTTCGAAACCAGTTTGTACATACGCCACGACTAATCCTTCTCGATATAAAAATCTAATTGCACAAAAACCGTACAGAAATTGATCAACTTTGTTGATCAATTCACCCTAAAAAAGTTTTAAGAAATTCCTATTTTCCTGTCTCATTTTTTGAGAGGCGTGAGGTCGTATTGATATAGGTATAACTTTCTGATTGATTCGGCCGTTACTTGATGAAGATCCATAGTAATTTCATAAACTTCTCCTCGTGATTTGATCTCCACGAATTTTACTTGAAAAATATATCACGACATGTTTCGCTAACACAGTAGCTTCTTCAACAGTGATTTCAAATCACTGTTGAAATTACAGCAGCCTCAAGGGCTTATTGCGTTTTCCCCTATCTTTTTCATGATACTCATTCCAATAATATTGTTCCTTGTAAACCGTATTCGTTGGAAAATAATTGATTTGAATGCAACGGCCATACCACGTTGAAAAATGCCAGTTCTCGTCCGATCACTGAAGCCAAGCAGTAGGTATAGCTAAACCCTTTATAATCAGTACATATTTTATTTATCAAATAACCATGTTAAACAAATATTTTCTTCATTGTAATAATCAACCTGTATAATTTGGGTTGCCTATTCATCGTTTGCCTAGTATGATCCAAAGCTTCACATTGCCTGCAGCAAAGATCTCCGATGAACAGCCTTATTTTGTACAGGTATCCTCTTATGGGCAGTGTGTAGCCCTGTAATTTTTCTGAGCCGACCTCTGATTTCGGTTCTCTTCTTGGACGGTCCCTTGATAAAAGTTTCGCCGTGTGTGTTCCTGGGTGTTTTTCCCAGTACTTTTTGTGTTTCTTATAGACTCATTTCCCTGGTACCCTCATAGCTGGTTCAGTGCCTATATATAGAGTTTGGAATCCATATGTGTAGCACACTAGTCAGCTTTTTCGTTGCCCATGCCACTTGAGAGTCCTAGCACCCTGTATGTGCGAAAGTGGTCCCAAAAGTACTCGGCTCAATAATGAAAACAGAAAAATTTTGGAAAAAAAATTATTTATTTTTCAACATAATTTCCTTGCAGCTCTATACACTTTTCCTATGATGTTCAATAAGTTCGATACCGTTTTCATAATAAGAACTGTCTTGCTCCTCAAAATAGCCATTAATTGCCGACATTACTTCTTCGTCGTTGGAAAATCTTTGATCACCTTTGATACCTAGCGAATAGGTATGAGGTAGCAGTTCAAACTTTAATTCTTCAATTTTAGTCATTGCGATAATGGATTTGTGAGCTGGTGATGAAACAACACTTTTTCTTAGCCAAATGCGGCCATTCCTACTCGATTTCTTCACTCAAACGTTGCAATAAGTTCGCATAATACTCGCCGTTGGTAGTCGTACCATTTTTAAAATAGTCAATAAAAATAATCCCACGCGCATCCCAAAAAACCGATGGCATGTCTTTGCCTGCAGATGAAACGGTCTTCTACTTCTTTGGAGCCGGTTCTCCCTGTTGAGTCCACTGTTTTGATTATTATTTTGTCTCGGGCGTGAAGTGATGTACCTATGTTTCATCCATGGTTATGAAACGACGCAAGATTCTGCTGTGTTCCTGTGAAACTTCGCTAAATACTCAATTCAAACATCTTCACGATACTGCTTTTGTTCGAGTGTGAGCAAACGCGGCACCCATATTGCACACAGCTTTCTCATGTCCAAATTTTCAGATAATATACGATGTACCGCACTTTTTGAATTGCTTTCTAAGTCTGTTAGTTCGCACACTTTCAGTCGCCGATCATTCAGTACTTCTTTGTGGATTTTCTTCACCGTTTCTAGAGTCGTTACCTCATTGGGTCGACCATTGCGATGCTCGTCTTGGCAGTTCGTACGGCCTCGTTCAAACCCTGCTAGGGGAGATATGCCTGAGATGCATACTGACTGAGACGGCATAACACGTGTTTTATCTAAACCTATTTAAAATTTGGCGCTGTTCTGACCGAAAACTATCATCAATGCTCGAACATTTGGCAACAGTGTGCAAAAGCCATGCGTCAAATTCGTTTTGGAGGCAGTAGGCTAGCCAGTCGATTTTTGCCTCATAAAAGTTTTTATGAACTAATGAACTAATTAGAAGTTGCCTCATTATTGATTGTTATTTGAAATTAAGGTAAGTCTCAATACGTATTTATGTTCTTTGGTGGCTTAATTAGTATATCCTATATTATGCTATAGTCTATCCATTCCCAATTGGAACGACAATAAAAATAAGAGCACTACGAGGGGTGTTCATAATCACTGCCCGGCAAATAGAAAATGTATATACTACCAGTGCTTTTATGTTCAAAGAGTCCCTGGCACAGTCATAAACATTTATTGCCTGTGGCCCCTAGTCGCCCAGATAGTTAGTAAACGTGCTATCAAATGTAGTTGAGGAATGAAGGCTCGGCTAGTTGGACTGGCTGAATACAAATTTTTTGTCCGTTTCACAATATTTCTTTATCAGTGCCGTGTGTTCGTGGGGTTTAGTTGAGGTAGTGAGTGGTTTTGCAAACCGATGTTCGAAAACTTTTCCTAGAGATCAATTACCCTAACACAAAACTGATATTTTTGCACTCGACGCGCGTTTCGCTGACAAGGTTAGCATCTTCAGGAGAAGCAAATTGATACTGAATCTAAAGACAAGGGTTACCTGTTTATAAACCTAAAGTTTTTTGGTCCGATGTGGACTTTGTTAAATAGTGAGTATCCTAATTGTTTTTTCGGTAATTAACTAGTGGAACCACTACCTGCAAACTAATTTGTCCACAATAGATTAAAAAGCGGAATTCATAAAGCTACGTTATCCTGATGGATATAGACTAAGATCACATATGTAAATGAAGACGTCACAACACCTATCTAGAAGGCCATGACTTCAGAAAAGATGAGATGAAAGTTGTTAAAGAAAACCTCATGGATCTGCTCGCCTGTATGTAGCCGATGGAGTGAACTGTTCTCTGTGATTTTTCGTGGGCTTTCTGCTGAGTAAGTTAGAACTTGGTAACAGACTTGTGGTCACCTCGTTCAGTATCGAAAACTAAACCAAGCTCATCAGGCATCTGCCTTTAAAGGATTGCCCCCTCTCACGGTCGCCGATCATTCAGAGAAGGATAAAGTGAACCCTTGATGACTTCATAGGCTCCATCTAGTATTATTCTGTTATCTACTCACCCCAAACTCAAAAGACCACGGCCTTCCCGTTGTCGGAAGTATAACCTTGAAAAGGACGATTTTGGATGGGAGCTCCTATAGAGAGGTATCATATTATTGTTATTGTTTGGACGAGAACAAATGAAGGGTCTACTTTGTGTTCAATACAAAAAAGTTTTCGGCTTAACTTCGCCTATTTGTATTCCATCAAGATTTTTATTATTATTTTTTGATTCTAGTGAGCTTTTCCAGAACCATCTCCTACATCCTTCCATGACTCTGTCGTTACATTTATGACTGCTCAACCCTATCTTCCTTTTTCCAAACAGGTAACCGATGCAGCAGGAGCTCGTAGAATAATAGTCCGATGTATGTCAGATCTTGATAAAGTGCGGCATTACCTCGAAAGAGATTTCGTAACAGGAATATCTAGCGTGGAACATGGATTGGACCTAGGCGAAGTGCTGGAGGAGCCAGATCGAGACATCCAAGAGGAGCCTGAAGATCGAGAAGAGAATCGAGAAAATCAGGAAGAGGACCAGGAAGATCAGGATGAGGACCGGGAGGATCAGGAAGAGGACCGGGAGGATCAGGAAGAGGACCAGGAAGATAGGAAAGAACAGGAAGACCGTCAAGAAGATCAGGAAGTACCCCGCCAAAGATCGTCTATTAAATCAGACAGAAAAGTTTCTCACGTCGATCATGATGATAGAAAGTGCTGCTGTTCGGAAGAGTGTCCGGCAGATCAACCATTGGAGTTCACGTGGCAGGAAGATGTAGGTGATATTTTTAGTGATTTAAATAGATTTTCATTTTACAGCCGATAAGATACATTGTTATACATGGTTATACCAGTACTGCATAGAACAAAACACAGTTCAAAATACTAATGGAGGTCGTCCTTATGGGTTAATTTACAGAGTTCTCCAATACTCGTTCTTGGATTTCATGGATTTCATCAATTCTCTTCACCCTTGCATACACTCTCTAAGGAGATGAAAGAAAATGATTCAATACATTCAACATGAATCCGAGCTGTTGAAAGTAAATTTTTTCAATATTTACAGATCATTAGAAATTGAGATTCAAACTTTAAACAAAATTGGGTAGGTACTGACTCAAACTTGATATCCTGATTTTGAAATCGGATTCAGTTTTAATCTGTGGACTACAACTTTACTTTTTACAATATTGATTTCGATCCATGAATCAAATGGAGCCTAAATTTAATCTTGGGAAGAAGACTTTCAACTTCAGGGTGTTGTTTTTCTGGAATTCAGACTATGCATAATTAAATTTCGAGATATCAAATTTAATGCCAGCATTACAATGTTATCTATTTTGAATTGGCTGTATATTGAAGAACTAGCTGAATGAATATACATTATAAACGTGTTTCCAAATATGTCATTGTAGGATCTTCATCTGTTTTAGTAAAAGCTATATAAAGAAGGTAATGAGTAGTATTGCGGTTCACTGACATGCTCAGGTGAAAACCTTATGAATAAACATAAAAATACACTTTTTGTTGACATACAGGGTGAGACGAGCAGCAAGTTGATAATCTGCATCAAAGGAAAATCGGAAGAAGAAGGCGATGTACATATAGTTATAAAACAATGTCCGGAGTGCAAGTTGTTCGATGGGGGCCTTACATCATCATCCCCTAGAGATCAAAGCAGAATCGGGGTTGCTTCCAAAACCAAAGAGTTATCAAGGGAACCAAGCAAAGTCAAAGAAGTACCTAGAGATCCAAGTAAAATCAAAGACATACCCAGAGATCCAAGTAAAATCAAAGACATACCCAGAGACCCCAGTAAACCTAAAGATATATCCAGAGACCATGTCAACTTTGAAAGTGAGATTCTTCACGGTAAGGACCCGGAGGAAGATTGCGACATATCTTCGTTGGAAGAGATAGAGGGTCCGGAAAACCTCAACATAATTTTCAACACCACCGACCCTTCGAAATCCGTGGTGGAAGGCGCCAGGAAGAGATCGCAGCAGCAGAAGAGTAGCCCCCATCTCGATCCGGCCAAGACAATATCGACGATAAAACTGAATGAAACCATCAACTTAAATTTGCAGACGGAAGAGGGGCCCGAACTGATTATATCTCTAACAGTCAGGCCGAAGACACAGGAGCCCATTCTCGATCTGAAAGAGATTTTCAGCGAGTCCCAGACGGACGTTCCTGAAAGGGACAGAGACCAACCGGAGAAAGACGAAGCTCCGAAAGAAGGTGATGACGAAGACGACTTGGTAATACCGCTATCACGAACGAAGATTTGTTCGTCGTTGGAATTCGACGTGCAAACCGTCAACTCGAGGATGAAAGCGACTGGAATAAAGCACAAAAACGCGAACATCACCTTCCGGCTCAACGATTTGGGAGTCAACAATTTATTGAGGGCGTCCAGGCCTGTGAAATGCGGTCGAAAGGCCGTTTTGAACGAGACTCTGATGAAGTGTTTGCCATACTCGCCTAGTTTGAAATCTCTGCCACTTGAAGACGTTGACACAGAGATAATAGATCAGTCTTTGAACATGAGCGTGACTAAGAGCAAGCACTCCACCATTTACATGAAAGAGTCCAAGATGTCTCACACCTTGGGGATGAATACTAGCAGGAAGCCTCCTTTGGGCGAGACTCGTTCTAAGCAAGTTTACTTTGTTTATGTACATTTCCCGAAAGTGATGTTCAGAAAAGATTCGGAGAAAAAAACTTCTGGGACAGCAAATTTATTAGGCTTCTACATCAATCTCGAAAGCGACATCCGGGAGGAATGGCCCATTTTTGACGTCAGATACTTCGTGATAGAAAATATTGAAAAAGACCTTTGCGATAAAACCGATCCTCCAGAAACTGTATTTAGTGTCAGGTTGAAGAACAGAAGAGCGAATGTTGTGACTGATGATGACAAATTGAAAGTTAATGGTTTGGAGCGCAAAAAGTTGTCTAGTTCAAGCGATTCTTCAAAATTTTCTAGTAAAATTCCGATTTACAAATATAGAAAGTGGATGAAGAGTGAGGAAAGGAGAAATAGGATGGTGGATGTATATAATGTTACTTTGGGACCATTGCCTGAGAAAAGTAAGGATTCTGAAGGTAAGGTAACAGCTAAAATTTTTATTCTGAATGTTTTTCAATGATCAGAATCTGACAATTCATCTCAAAGATTAAGTGTTTTATGATTTTTTCCGAAAGAAGAAGCAATCTTTAAACTAGTATCAAGTTAGAATGGTTTGAACCGAAACCGAAAAGTTTACAAACTGTGGATTGAGTAGTAAAAGCTCTACACAGTATACATTCTTGAAGCTTTTCTATTAGAAACAGCATCATTTTGTTTATATTGGCTTGATATCAAATTTGAAACTGAAGTGTAACTTTAACGTATATTTTCAAAAAATCAATGATAAGTTTGGTCTACATCTGATGAGACTTTAAATTAGCCGAATCTTCTACATATCCAAACTCTTCATGAATTGAAAATATATATGTATTTATAGCTGCATGAAGTATTTATTCGAGAACTAAACTCAAAAAAAAACTATCATATCAATAATGAACCAAAGCATTCTCATTTATAATTGTCTGAATAAATCTAAAACAAGCACTTGTTTCAACCACCAGAACTGTAGTCTTCCTCATCTCCTGAAGACGCCAACTGGGTTGGTGAAACGCGCCTCAAAAAAAGTGTTGCAGAGGTGGTGACTGGAAAAAAGTGCTCGTTTAAATTTTTTTTTGTACTATATTTTTCATTCAGTTGAAATCCTTAATGGATTGTTTTGGTTTACTTCTTGGGATAATGAAGAAATAGTTGAAAATATTCTGCTTTTCGTACGCAATTTTGAACTTAGTGACACTTCACTAAATTAATCAGTGTGAAATTTTTTCCTTCACATTTTTTTGATGTTTATGTTCTGATTTGGTTCGACTTGAAAATCTTTTTACACTATTCACAAACAATATCACAACTGCAGATTATGAATATAATTGTGATTCAGGCTGTTTCATTCGCTGTTGACTTTTTCAGGACTAAACGCTAATTCCAACAGTGTAGTCAGCTGTGACAAACAAATGAACCATCGACCCAGCCAATTCAATCATGCGGGCACCAGTGCATTCTCCTTGAAACGTTCCAAAAATAAAAGCCTTCTGACAGTTAAGAACGTCAGTCAAACAAACACAATCGAGCTTTTTCCGGCAAAAAACTTCACCTCCGTCGAGAGTTTGGAATATTTCAACTCGTTTCTGCGGAACGCCGCCATTTTTCAAGGTTCAACGACATCTCGCGGTTTGCGAAAGAAGAAAGAGTTTTATGAATCGAGATCACACTCTTTGCTAGTTATGCGCGCCTCAACAGAGCACGGCAACACCGGAGATGTTACCAAACTAGCAACTGCAAACGAAGCTAATGGAATCGGAAAAAAGTGCATTAGGCACAACAACGTTGATCTGTCTTCTACGCAGTTCAAGAAACAACTGAATATCGAGAAGAACGTTTCAAAGATGTTGATAAACGATTTGTCGACATTTATCTACGAAAATTTCATCAAAGACTTGTCTTCGGGAGCGAAACTTGAAATTTTTAAAAAAATTGACTCATTTCTGAGTTCACATTCAAAGATCAAAGGAAAGATGCAGTCCGTTAATCGAAGTGGCAGTGGAAAGGGCAGTTGGTGAGTACCTACTGTCTATAATTTCCAATATGCCAGAGGTGCAAACAAAATAAAAATCATATCATCAACTACATATTAAACATCATTAGTTACTTAAAGAATATTACTGAAGTTTTTTCCCAACACCAAATCGTTATTTTTAACACCTCGACACGTGTTTCGATCACCAAGTGATCATCTTCAAAGAGGAAGATTAAAACTAGAAATTATCACAGTATCTTCGAAAAGGGCGTCGCCAACGGGGGGCAGTTGCCCCCCCCACCTAGAGATCAAATGTAGCTAACCGCAAAGCGACCAAAGTGCGAGCAATTGACTTTCAAACCTATTAATAAATTCCGCATCGCATGACAAAACGTAATTAAATTCACAAGGTTCAATATATATTATAGAAAGTATTGAAATATTCAGAATAACATTAAGATTTTGACATTCGTTTTTAAAATCGCCGCCATTATCATCACGACTATATCAGATTTGCCATTAAACAGTGTAAAGATATGTAGGTAGGAGGTGGGTACGGTGTGTGTGTGTGTGTTGTGTGCATTGCATTTCTTTCTACGACAGCCATTCACCAGCAGTCACATTAGTTTTGTATAATTTGTATGCGGCATACCTAAAGTAGAAGTTATTGTTACGATCAGAATACTGGAAGAGGTCATTAGTAATACCATACTTGGATTCAATTATCACCTCCCTTGAAGTACTTTTTGCTGAAAAAACACGCCATCATTCGCCTTATCTAAGTTACACCCGGCGCAGATGCAAAAGATGACAAATGAAAATCTGAAACAAACTTGTGAATCTATTGCCCAGTTTTATGATCTACCGAACATAAAGAATGAAATCGAACTATAGCAGCAATTGTGGCACGATAGGCTCAATCTAACATATCTTACAGTTATTGATGTCCTAAAAGAAACAAATTCCTTCTTTCCCGAAACGGAAAAAACATTGAAAATTTTGATCGCTTTATCATGCACGACCTGTACAGTAGAGCGATCCTTCAGCAGCCTCAGAAGACTGAAAACATGGCTATAAGAAGCACCATGGCAGAAGATTGCCTTGATGGTCTGACCACGATGAGTGTACACAGAGCTATAATAAATAAAAACCTAAATAATTTTAATGATAAAGTCGTTGAAAGTTTTGCAAAAAATCCCTGCAGGTTATGTTGTAATTGAATATTATTTTTATTGAAATAAATAATTAATACTGTGTTTAAAAAGTTTCATTAAGTTATTGTGCTGTCGAGGACTCGTGAAGTTTTATACATTGATATCAGAACCGTTCTTATTACAATCGTCATCGAGGCAAAAACTTCCAAAATGTAAAGCTTCATGCTTTCGACTGTACCAGGCGTTCATATTTTTTATCCTACATAATATTGCCCCATTGCCCCCCCTTAGTCATAAGATGGCGACGCCCTCATTTTCGTTATTCGGGACATTCAATTTCATTTAAGAACTTGTTTGCTAGTCTGACAAGTACTACCTATTCAGAGCGTTTTTTCAATTCCACATCGTATGCTGAAATAGTTCATCGGTTATCTATACATGCGTGTTAATTATTCCTTTTGCCACCAGTATATCCTATTGTCGTGTCAACTGTATATTAGTATTGGGGGATATTTAAGGATATACATACAGGGCGTTCCAACGAAAACTTGACCCCCCCCTGTAAGTCAGAAATGGACGTGTAATCGAAAATTTCAAAGAACACGTCAATTTTTATTTTTAGGAGGACTAATTTTGATAAAAATTATACCCGAAACTTCACCACCCTGCAATCGACATTCCCGAACAATTCTCTGTTGCAGGTCTTCTAGATTTGTAGGCTTAGTAAAGAACACTTTCAAATTCAGGTGTCCCCACAGAAAGAAGTCCATCGGTGTGAGATCAGGTGATATAGCTGGCCACTCCACTGGACCCCTTCTGACGATCATTGGAAAACGTTCATCAAAAAACTGTCTCATTCGAACATCAAAATGTAGGGGTGCACCATCCTGCTGGAATGTTAATTCATTTTCTACTGAATTGTTATCATTTTCTAGAATTTGTGTAATCATAGGATCTACACAGTCTTGTAATAGATTCGAGTGTCTCCATTGAGATTACCTTCAATGAAGAATGGTCCAACAAAATAATTACCAAGAATGTCGGCCGAGACATTCAATTTTTGTAGAGTTTGTGAATGTGTTTCCATCACCAAATGAGGATTCACATCGCTTCAGTAACGACAGTTATGTCTGTTCACTTCACCATTCAACATGAAAGAACTTTCGCCGGAAAAGCATGTGCTGTATAATAGGTTTGGGTTATTGGTCAATTTCTCGCTGATCACCTCACAAAACGTAAGTCGACGATCAGGATCATCTTCGTTTAATCCCTGAATTAGCCTTATTTTGAAAGGATGGAATTTGTAGGCTTTCAAAATCCGAAAAACACTAGTAGTTAATACACCAGACGCTCTAGCTACTTGTCTGATAGATTGCCGGTTATCCATTTGTACATGCCCTAAAACTAAAACTACAACTCCGTCACTTCTAACAGGACGGGATACTTCATGTTTTCTGTTGTGAACAGAACCTGAAGTTAGAAACTTTTTCATTAACTGTTCAACGTATTGACGGCTCACGTTGTGGTCTGGATGATTCGTATTATAAATTCTTACAACAGCTTTAGCACATTCATTATTTCGACAATAGGTTGCAACAATTTCAATTATTTCTTCAGTAGAATATACCATGTCGAAACACACTGAACAAGGATAACTGAATAATAATTCGTGAAGAAGTGACAGTGGCCAACTATCTACTTTTTGTTCTGGGACAACTAGATTCAACAAACTACCACTGCAGAAAAAACTAACAGTGCCGTCCGTTTTAAAACGTTTACTACTAATCAAATAAATTCTACAAATCTAGAAGACCTGCGATAGAGAATTGTTCGGGAATGCCGATTTTTGACTCCGGAGATCTTCAATAATGTAAGGAAAGCTTTCGAAAGTAGACTGTATTATGGCATGGAACTAGATGGAGGTCATTTTGAACAATTTATCCGTTGATTGTGTTGCCATTGATATTACTTTTGTTGATTTCCTCAATAAAATGAGCGACAGCGAGTTTTCTGTTTTGAACTTGAAGAACCGGTACTTTGCGCGTCTTTGTTAAATTTCTGATTAGTAAATTAGATGCATCAAATTATTCTTAATTGAAGTATTTATCATTATCAAAAACCTATCCCATAATCATTGAACACCTACCTGAAACTTTTGTATAGTTTTATTTGCTCGTTTTTTCGAGTGAAGTGGCAAGCCGAAGTAAAAACAGTGAATACTGAAATAATCAGACTCATCGGCAACAATGATAATCAGTCATGTTAAATAAGACAGAGACACGCTAACTCTTGAACTTCATTATTTTTAATCGATTAATGAAGTATTCCTAATTCTCGAATAAAAGATAATCACTGTTAAATTTTATTTAATCGGGTTGTTAAGTACCGACACTTAGTAGTATTGAGGCAGTGTTTGTAATTCATCTTTTTAAGTAGTGATATGACACAAAATATGAAGGATTTTTCAATATTTATGGAAAGAAAATGGTTTATGTCAATAATAGCATCCTGCCACTTGCCACCTCCGGTCACGGTTCCATTATTATTCTAATCAGTGACGTCATTTGACAGCTTTTGCGATTAATCAGATAATTAGTAAAGGTATTATGAAATTCATAATCTTCGTTTCAAATCTAAGTTGTTTTACATTTTGATTAATATACTTGGATTCTTATATTCTCAATCAAAGACAAAAAAAATCACTGCGAAGATCTAGAGTGATATATTGCCATAGAGTACGTAACTGCTGCCTCTAGACGATTTTTGATTACCGGTCTACATTTGAATTAGTCGCACTACTCACAGTATATTTCTGTGGAGTTTAAGTTTGGCTGTTCCTTTCTTTCCCAAGGCTAATATGGCATACAACCTTTTGAACAAAATGTCTTTAGTTCATCTAATTGTTTATTCATTCTAGAACTTCAAATTGTTATGGAATGTACTGTTGCCATCAAGAGAAACATGAAGAAAGGGGTATGGTGAATATGTATTTTTTGTGACAGAAGCTCGGATACAATTCATATCATTTTGAAATACTTACATTTTCATGTTCTTAGTATTATAGACCAAAAATATAATATGAAGAAAAACCTGTTTGGACCATGTTAATCAGTTTACTACTTGATAGGTGGAAATTTAGGTTAGAAAATTAGTTATAAAAACTATTATGTATAAGAGTCTAATTTATTAAATGTTCAAAAACATACAATAAAAAGGTATATGGTTTTATATGACATATGATTACATACTCAGTTTGCAAACAGTCACCGAACTGGTTGTAACTGAGTTTTTGGTTATGTTTCAACACAAAATAGTAGTCGATTCAAGATCAAATCTCACGAAGGCTTCCCAAAAACTAATTTTGAATTTCTGTGTAACACCTGTTCTTGCATATCAATTTGCATCTACTGGTTACTTACTACTTATTGCACCAAGGAAAACAAACGATACCAACATCATATAAAGGAACTTAAAGAAAAAGAAACCCAAAATTCTCTATGTAAGTGGCACATTTCCTTATTTACACAGTACCACCCAAGTATTTCGATCATACAATGTACAAGACGCGATTAATCTCTTTATGCTCTAAACAAAAATAATACTTTCAAAAGAACTTACATCAAAATACATAAACAATTTCTAAATGTAACAATCATTATGATATATCTAACACATAAATGCATAAATATGTATAATTTTTTTTGACAGCACGAACATGAAGCTGCTGTGTATACTATTTCTACCTAAATACGCATAAATTGCTCGAAATCAGATTCACAGTATTGCAGGTAATCAAATAAAATAAAAAACTCATTTAAGAATGAACCTAATTCTAGTCAGTATATACAATAATTAACAATGGTGCGAATGGGGTCCTTTTTTATGTTTAAAATATACTTTTTTCTAATTAACATTTTCCATACAGTTTGCATATACCAATTGCATTTTTTTGACTCCTTAAAAACATCTCTAATGAAAGAAGGAAAAAAATGTCATCCATTTTATATTCAATCTTATAATTAGTCAACTTTTGACATAGGAGGATCAGAAACAAAGTTTAATGTTAAAGTTATTTGTATTGGAATAAGAACAGATTATTCAATAAGATAAGTCATTAATTAGTGTGATTTATTCCTGTCTCTGTTTTTTAAATTTTCCTCTCTTAGTTGGATAGAACAAATAATGTTTCTCAAACTCCTTAAACTATTAGGTATATAATCTTCTTCTTTTGTAAGTCATACATTTCCATTTATTCTTCTATCAACCTGTTTTTCAACTAAAAAAAAAAGAAGTTTATGAAGCTATTACTTTTAAAATAAATTCGATAAATCAAAGGCTAATGAGCATGACATGCTTTGTACCATCTAATGGGAAAGAATTGTGAGTCATTCAAAATGAATACCAAGCAAAAATGTATTCTAACCAATTCATAATCCGTTCATCTCTATCAAATACAATTTGGTAATCTTCCACTTCTCTTCAATCACAAATAATCTTCATCCTCAATAAACCTGATTCACTAATTTGTTCTGGGCCTTGCTAAATGGCTTAATGAAGAACTATGCAAAGATAGGTGAATTAAGTTTTATTCATTAGGGGATATTTACTTTTTGACATCCATAAAAAGTTTTAGGATTCTGCTTTCTAGACTACATTTTTTTTAAAGTTAAATTCATTCTGCTTTTACACACTTATATATCATTTTCAAAATTTGATAAAATTGATGAGTATATCATTTTTCCTAGGAACAACATTCTTGATAATGCTACGAAAAAATATATTTCACTTTCCTGTTACTTTGACCATCTGTTGCATTGAAGAATATATCCGATATTGAAAATCAGAATTATTAATAAAAAAAATTGTTTTTTGGCTTCAACCCGGATCGCACCATGAATGATAAAATATAATAAATTTAACTAAGTACTTTAAAAAATGTGTATACTTTAAAGAATAGGAATGGCATGGAATGTATCATTTATAATAGTGGAAATAATAAATTAACTATAATGATGTTCTCGCCTTGATTTAAAACATTGAGAAACATGTATGTCTCTCAAAAAATGAAACCAATAATAAATTAAAATCGTTCAGGAAATATATGTCTCTACACACGATTACTCCATATTTCAGCAGCCATATTTACGGTTTCTGTAGGATTTTGCTACTTCAAACAGAATCTGTTTCGAATGAAAAAAACTATGAGTACGAAAAAAAACTACTGAAAAAGTTTCAGGGAAACCTGAAATTTTTTTTGTCAATGAGTGAATTGCATTATTGTGAGATGTGAAAACTGTGATTGGGGATGGAGATCTGTAGAAACTTAAATAAAGCATTTCGTTCATGGAAACCGTGTCCTAAAGCTGCTGCCAACATGATTATATGATTTCTCTACCGATAATTTTTTTATAAAAAATATCTAAAGTATCTAAGCCATACAAATTAGGTCAAAAGTAGCAGGCAATAATCGATGGATCATTAGTAGTCTGTAGGGTGGTCAGCGCTGCCTTCTACGTCTTGTTCTCCATCGTCTCCGTCTTCGTCATCGCTGGCATGTTCAACACTGTTGGTGGCGATTTGCTTCGAAAAATCGTTTGGCTTGTGCACCAGAGATTCTAAACGATAAAAAACATATTTGTGAAAACTTAAATATCCAATAAAATCTGTGTCAATAACTACTATATTTTTTATTTTATGTTATATCTACTACTGTTTTGTGTATATTTTGTTACCAAACTCGCCTTATCACCTCTATGGTTTATCCAGAAATAACTTAGCGATTCCTCCATTAAAATGTAAAGAATGGAAACAATGCAGAGAAAAATATCTTGCAATGACAATTAAAAAAAATAATTTGCTCGACAGTAATTTACACTACTAGATGGAATTTACACTTTCACTAGAAAAAATCCATAAAGTATTTCTGATGCAACCTGCTTTTCTTTCAAGAAGAAGGAGCACGATAACAGTGTATTCTAGAAAACAAGTCGCAGATTGAAAAGCCATAATCATAGAAAACGAAGGCTGGGATAATGGACCTCAAAAACATTTATATACAATAAGAATATAGTTTATTCACCTCGCTGATCTAAGCTCATTACCTTTCAATGATTTATGATCACGTTTATCTCCGCAATTCAAGAGTTAGACATTGCCACTGGGCAAATGTGCCTCTTTCTTGTTCAAGATCCAAAAACGAATAAGGAAAATGGCGCCCAATGTGGGGCGCCATTTTTCTTACGTTGTCAGTAAGGACAACGTAACGTTGTCAACGTTGTCAGTATTTCTTCGTAGTTTACCATTATAAAGGAATAATAAGCTCAAACTACGACAGCTCATACGTCCAATTTACGAACAGTTTGTCAAATATGTTATATCGGCAGCGATGGTACTCAAGGACGGTTTTTATAATGTACTTGAGATATATCCGGATTTTATGTGCTGGTGAAAACATGGTTTATGTAACCAACCACAGCTACCAACTCTGTAAGCCGTCGGTGGTTGTTAGAAAAAAACTCGGCGATAGTAATTGTGACCCTTTTATTTAGTATAGCTCATTAGAAATCGATCTATTTCGGAATAGATCAACTACTCAAAATTATTTCCAACTACCAGCAACCAGTAATTATCGATTTAGATTCATTTTAAATTCAGCTCAACACTCTCAAAACGTCCGTATCAAGTAGCAGCTGCTGAATTTTAGTCATCTGAAGTATATGAAATGTAAAACTCGGTTATTAAATCCCCACGGTACTCTGTAACAGAATCCGTGCTCAGCTGGTGTCTGAACTTGAAGTTTGGTGAACAGATCAACTTATTATGGAACTAACCGTTTCACTGAACTTATTCTATGTAAAACAATGAAGTGTAGGATTTAATACCATAATATGCATATATGAATATATAACTTCGAAGAGAGCTACTTCAGAATTGGTCTAATTAATACCAAAAAATATGATAATGTAATTCGATTCAATAATGGGGTAAGAAGTGAATAGGACAATTTTTTCTACATACATAACGATTTT